TGAATGTAAGTCGGATGTTGTAAAATATGAACAACTCCAACGTACGTAAATCCGGTTTAATTATATTCCTATCTGGGATTGAGTATCTCACTTTACTTGGTTTATCAGACTTTGCTTTGGGTCAATATTAGCTTTGTATACTTCGTTGAACCTCCTCCATATCTTCGCTTTGTTGTCCTCGAGCTCATTCTCGAAGAATTTATCATCCATTATCGTGTTGTAGATCTCGTTGGGGTTCTGTGACGAAATGAGTGGGTCAATGAATGTAAGCGACTAGGCTTTAAATACAACAATGTACGAGACTATACACAACATACGTGTATTGATCACGTGTCAATGTCATTGAGAGTCTGCGGTGCAAAGTGAAAACGAGTGGTCTTAAGCGTTCAGGTATCGAAAGAACTCCATATTCTCAGGGTCTCCGTACACGCACACACGATTGTATACACATAAAATAACGCAGCATACTCAATATGTGTACACATATATCAACGAAAAACATCTTATCTATTGATTCAGATCCCACCCGGTGATGCTCACGACACCAGGGTGTGGTGTACATGGATGTTCAGACATGCAGTGGATATGAGTGAAAATTTATTCCTCTTTCTGGGGAGTAAGATTTGAGATATTATCGGCTTGTGTACTATAGAAACGGAAAAGGATACATACACATCCAAGTGTGTAACTGTGCTAACCAGCCTAATAGACATATCTGTCTATACGTAAGTAAATTAAATTGGAAGTGTCCTACGTTCTGTGGAGAGACCGGCTCTCGTACCGGAAGTAATCCCAAGCGCATAGTTTGGAGTAAACAGGTTCGTGATAGATGAATATAGATATAGGCACTCATTCATACAAAGTGCCACAGATAATACACAAGCACGAATAGACGCCAAAAAAGATACATACATAAAATACGATACACCAAATGTAAATATGAAAGACGTGTATAAGGTTACGTATGCACATAGGTCTGCATATAGGATTTTACATACACACGCTTACCAAGAGAATGATAATGTCCATAGTGGTATTGAAAAAGAATTGATGTTTTCGTCCAAAAACCTTCTTATCCGTGATGTCGACCTCTGTGATCCCAAGATCCGCTTTTAGGTGCTTCTTGATGTACTTGGTCACCACGACGTTCAATTTCTGTTCCAAATTGTCCAAAGAAATCGGAAAAAATCGGGGTTTAATTAACAATAATTCGGGACTATATATGATATGATCTCAGAGCTCACGTCAACTACTATGAGATTATAGATAACCAGTTTTTAAAATACGACGACAAATGATTTAAGATGACGGAAATTGCAACAGTGTATGATTTCCGAAACACTGAAAAACTGCACAATTTAGCCGTCATATACAAAATTGAGTCTACTGATCAAACATGGATGCTTGCGTACATATATTGTTGATTGCGTAAAATACAATATATATATATATATATACGTATATATATATACATATATTTATAT